CGCCTGCAGCAGCGCGTCAAAGAGACGGCTGTGCGGCGGGCCCTCATCGCACCTCGGGGGCGACGCCGCCGGCCCGCAGTCGGCGGCACCCTCGATAGCGCTGCACAGACGGGCAATCAGCTGGTGCGCGTTGCGGTGCGCGTGGGAGAGCTCGTTCACCTGCCGCTGCAGCGCGTTGACGCGGTACTCCACATCACGCACCGCCTCCAGAATCTGCTCGCGCTGCCGCTGCGCCACCTCCAGCTGCCGCTGCCGCTCCTGAGAGAAGTCCTGTTCCGCCAGCGTTGAGCCCTTCCCATCGTGCCCCTGCTCCTCCTGATTCGTCTTCTGCTGCAGCGTTTGTTGCACTGCGTTGTTCGCGGCTTCACGCACGGCGCGTTCCACCTGCCGCTCCACCTCCGCCGCAACCGCGTCACGCAATTTTTCCGCCGACAACGGGGCGCTGTCGGGCGTCGCCAGTGGTTCACTACTGTGCTGCCGCGCATCCTTCAGCGCATTCTCTATCATGAGCTGCACCTCAAGCCGCGTGGTGCAGGAGCGTATCAGCTCATAGAACTCTGTGGGTGAGAGCACGGCGGTGGTGTTCGCCATCCCCTCCCGCCCCGTCTCGTCATTGACGACGTGCACCATGACGCAGGTGCGGCGGTTGCCACAATGGCAAATCCACGCAGTCTCTAGGAGGTCCCCCTTCATCGTCAGGAAGAAAAAAAACGACAACAACAACATTTCAGGTCCAACAATAAAACAAACAGAGAGAGAGAGAGAGGTCATTCAGATAACGAATGATGGGGAAAGGAGCAACGGAGACAGGCATCTACCCCTACAAACATACAACACATTCACTGCCACTGGAAAGGGGCGAGAGAGCGCAGATGTAGCAATATGCCACATTTTATTTTCCTTTTTCCTTCGTCTCCCTATTCTTTGCCTCGTTGCGCCAGCTAAATCCTCAGTACATGCATCGGGGGAATCTTACATGGGAAAACTACACCTGGTAGCGTTGCGTTGTGCTCATGGCGATCCCGTGGGCGTATGTGACGCATCATACTCCGCCAGCCGCACCTCCAGGTGCAGCTTGCAGGCTTCCGAGCACACGCAATGCATAAATGGCACGGACGCCAGCGTTGCGATGCTGTGGAACGTAATCAGCACCTCGTAGTTCCGCAGGCGCACACAGCAGTTGGAGCAGTCAACGGACAAGAGCGGTGCCACAAGCATCGCCGGGGCGGCGCCCGCGACATCCTCCGGCGAAAGCAGCGGGTTGTTCTCCAGTGTTAGCGTCTCGAGCCGCGGCAGGAAAAGAAGGCCGCCGGGTAGCACGCGCAAGTTGTTGTTGTCCAGGCGCAGCTCCTGCAGGCTCTTCAGCTGCCACACCTCCATCGGCAGCGCAGGGAGCACGTTGTTGCTCAAGAACAGCCGCTCCAGGTGTGAGAGGCGACCAATCTCCATCGGGAGCGACGAGAGCCTGCAATAACTCGCGTTGAGCCAACGCAGCCGGCCGAGGTCGCCTATCGCCGGTGGAAGTGCGGTGAGTGAGTAGTTGTTGTCGATGTGCAGCAACTCGAGTGTGTTGCGCAGTGCCTTGATGGCGGGCGGAATAGCATCGAGATCCTCCTGGTAGCTGAAGTGGAGCACTGTCTCCTTGTTGTCATACGCTTCCTGCACAGCGTCCAAAAAACGCTCTTCTGCAGTTGCCATTTTGCCTCTTATAGATTCGGTGTGGTGGTGAGCTGTGTTCGCTTCGTTGACCTTGCCGCACCTTCGCGTGTGCTCTGTTTGCTTGAATTCACCGGTCGTTGCCCGTTGGGTGCGGTGCTGTTCGCCACCCAGTCACACACTCCCTTGCGTGCTTCCTCCCCTCACCCAGCAACGGCAGCACGCGAACCACACAACGTGTAAGCGAAAGAGGGGGGGGGGGGCGAAATGAAAACAAAGAGCAAAAGAAAAGGAATGCCATAGTGCAGTGGCAGCCATGAAAAGGAGCAAAACACGTCGCTCGGGTCCACAGAGCGCACACACACCGAGTGAGTGAGTGAGAGAGAGAGACGTAGACACACAAACATACCAGCGCGGCACTCCACAACAATCCTCATGTGCATGCGCGGGTGTCTGTGCGTGCGTGGTAAGACCGCGCACACACCCTCTACGACCCTCAACTCCACACGCAGCACCAGCCTCGCCAGAGTAAAGTGTTCTACAGGAAGGAAGCAGCCCATAAACCAATCAGACGGTTTAGTGGAATGAACACAAGTGGAATAAAATTATTAGCCAGACTGTCCCTCAAGAGTGACAAGTGAGGCACCCAGCGCCCATGCGGTCTCAAAGCCATTAATTTTCTTCGCTATATGGAGCTGCTGCTCGCGCGGGAAGCCGAAGCCATGGTGCAGCAGCGCGAAGAGGTATGACAGCTCAAAGCATTCCATCTCTGGCCGAAGTGTGCCACTCTGTTTTGCTGCGTCAGCCACATTCTGCAGATCTTCTGCTGTCTTCATTCTGCTGCAAACATCACTCGCTATCCTCTCCACATTCTGCACCGTTGTGGCTTCCCCATCCAAGTACGGTTTCAGGCGGTCGTAGTAGAAGGAGAACGCGTACACAGGACCACTTGCTGCGGCCGTCACGTTAGGTTGGAAGATGCCGTTGAAACCACACGAGTCTGTGCCACACGGCTCGTGCCCGCGAACAACGTGCTTCTTAAAGAGTGCAACACACTTCTCCATTGATGGTGCCACGCCGCCGTTCTTAACGTTAGAGATGTTCCTTTCCTTGTAGACGTATCCCTTCGGGAAGCACGGAAAGGCTGAGCGCAGCGCTGCTGCTTCTGCAGGCTTCTCGACCGCGGCGGTGGCGGTGCTCCCGGAAGCTTCCTCTGCCGCGGCTTCCACAGCCCGCAGGAGTTGCTCTTTTGCGGCGTGCAGACCGTTGCCCTCGTAACTGTGCTGATACACAACAAACGCGTTCCCGTTCGCACGAAAGACGTGGGAAAAATCTTTGCGTGCGTCGAGCACCTTGGAATCCTTCGGGTGCATGACGATCTGCGTCGACCCACCGCCGAGGTCAACGATGGTGGCCGTCGCCGTGTTGCCACTCATGGCGCCGCGGAGATAGTTGACGGTGAGCCACGCGAGCGGCCCCTCTTCGCTACCCTCGAGAATGCGCACGGCGTTCCCCTCCGATTGTAGCCAAAATGGCCCGCTGCGGAAGTGGCGCCGCACCGCCTGCAGCACCGCCTCTGCGCGCTCACGGCCGATGCGGCGGAGCCCCGCTGTTGCCTTCAGCTCCACAGGCGCGCACGTGTGCATCTCCGCCGGCACATACGCCTTGGCCGCCTCGAGCAGAGGCGACAGAGACGCGGCCGCCTCATCGGCGTTGGCATAGCCTGACAGTGGGTTGTGGTTCTCCACGAAGAGTTCGTCCTCGAGGCGCAGGAACGGCATCAGCGACGGACGTGTGGCACGCCAGTCGTGTGCGCCGGCGTGCGGGTTTGTCGACAAGTTGTAGCGGAACACATGCACGCGGCTGCCGGTACTGCCAGCGTCGAACACGATACTGTAGCGCTGCATTGCGCCATAGCACCGCTCCAGCACGCTGTTGTCGTTGCGAAGCCCACGCGTGTGCATCTCCATCTCCCTTTCGAGCGCGGTGACGAGGCCCGTAATATTCCCCCAGCCCAAAGAGCTGCTGCTGCTGCTGTTGGCGGTGGAGTTGACGAGCGCGATGGCCATGACGTAGCGCTGCCGCTCCTCTTCGAGTTGCTCCAGCCACTGCTCCACCGCCGCCGCGCTGCGCTTCTCCTTCAACCCCTCACTCTCTCGCTTGCAGTCCTCCACCGCCTGCAACACAATGGCGTTGCGGTTCTCAAAGAGCTCAAGCTCCGCCCGGAGTTTCTCCCGATCACCAGCGGCGCTCTCAGCGGCCTGAGCTGCTGTCGCCTGACCGCTCTTCAGCAGCTGCACACGCGAGCGGCACTGCAGGAAGCGTTCCGTCTTGATGTTGATGATGCTATTGGTGAGCTTCACCCGCTGCTGCCCGCGCGACACCATGCTGGAGCCCCCCACGCTGTAGGCCGTCAGGTACACCGTCAACACAACCACGGTGGTGAGCAGGACAAAGATGGGACCAGCGTAGGGCCACACGACCCGCCGGCCTTGAAACGACCTCATAATCCCTTCCGCTTCTTTTCGTTCTCTCCCCCTCTCTCTTAATCAGTTCCCTTTTATACAAGGATATATATATATATGTGCAGTGACAAGCAATTATACCGGCTTGTCCCTTTCAGAGAAACAACGCAACCCACCACGACTCTACGTATGCGAGAGGAGGAGAACCACACGACATGAAGCAAGGAGAACAAGACAATGAGGAACCAAACAACAGCAGCGTAGGCACCATGCGCTTCATTGGACAGTGCCGACCACACCAGCACCAGAAAACGAGGGGGAGAGAGAGAGAGCGTGCGTGTGTGTGTGTGTGGAGAGAGAGAGAGAGAGAGCCAGATGCGGGGCGAGCCAGACATGCAGCGGAAAGCCGGAACAGTGCGCGTGTTTGTTCGGTTGGCGGACGGCGTGCGCGCCCGTCTCGCCCGGCAAATGTTCCTCTCCGCGGCGCGCCCTCCACCGTGGCACCGAGGCCTCCATCGGCCGCTGCAAAAGTTAGAAGGGGGAGGAGAAAAACAAGAAAAAACAAACAAACACCGTATAAAGGAAAAAAAAAATGAGAAGAGAACGAACTTGATAAGCGGAGGAAAATCAAAAGAGCAGAAGGAAAAAAAAAAACAGCTGCAGCAGCGCCTTTGGGTTTGAGTGCCGCACAGGGTGTGCAGATCTAAAGGTGGCGGGCGCCATTCTTGCTTCCGCGCCTAGACGTGCCCTTTTGGTTTTGCACCCCCGCAGCTGCAGACGCCCACCAGACTTCCCGTTTCCATTTCGCATTCCTTTCTCCTCCCTTTGTTGCCTGTTTCCTTTTTTTTTCTTCTTTCCGTTCGTTTCCTTCTTTGTCTTCTGTTGCTGTGGTTTCTCCTGTTCCCGTTGGCGGTGAGGCTGCTGTCGCCGCCGCTGCGCAACCACCGTCGGCCACGGACCGCCCCGACACGACAAAAAAAAAAANAAAAAAAAAAAGCTGCGCGGATGATCGGCCGCCGAGGAGGCGAGTGGGCGGGGGGAGCGGCGCCCCACACGAAGCGCAACAACAACAACAAAAAAAAAATGTGCCTGTCGGCCGATGATGCCCCCCGCCCCGCGCCGAAGCGGAACAAACATGCGGGAGAAGCAAGATGCGCACTTTGGTGTTGCCTTCTGGTTCTTTTTGGTCTTCCTTTTCCTTTCTTTTCTTTTTTCTTTTTTACTTTTTCGTGGTCTTCGCAAACGCCTCTGTCGCGGAAAGACTCTCCGAGATGCGCCCGCTCGGCGTCCGCGCTCGGCGCAGCGGCGTCAGGCTCTCGTGCATGCTGCTGTTCACCGACGCGGGGCGGCTGCATGCGTGGATCTGCCGGTCAATCTCCACCTCCATCGCCATCTCCGCGGCGGAGGCCAGCTCTGTCACGGTCGCGGTTGTCTCCACCAGCTCCTGGTGGATGCCCTCCAGCGAGTGACGGTTGCTGTTGCGCTCGCGCTCGGCCTGGCGGATGCGGCGCTCGAGTTCCTGCCGCTTCTGCTCGTACCGCACCCCCCGCTCGAACGCCTCACGCTGCAGTCCCTCGACCACCTTCACCTCGTGCATCAGGTACTGCAGCATTTCATGCGGGTTGCTGGCGGGGTCGGCGTGCTCCGTCGCTGGGCTCTGCAACGGGACCGTATCAGCCGAAGCCGAGGCATTCGGCGCATCGGCAGCAGCCATCAGGCCTGAATCGCCCAGTGTGCCCGCCGCGGGCGCCGGGTTGCTGCCGCTCACCTCATCCGACTGCTTTTGCAAGACATCAACAAGTTCCTGCAGCTGATGCACCGATGATGATTGCTCAGAGAGAAGACTCTCAAGGTGCTGTCTTTGTTTTTGGAGTTGCTGCAACTGTTTTTTCATAGTGGTTAATGTTCCCTCCTCCTCACGCTGCAGACGCCGTGCCAGGTTTGAATTATTCAGTTTGAGCTGTACCAGCCTTTGCTCCTGCTCCATCTTCATTTTCTCCTCCTCGTGCAGACGCGCTTCCAACTGCGACTTCTGACGACGCGCCGCATCGACACGGCGCATGAGTTGATTCGTGATGCTCTCCCCCTCCTTCTCTGCCGTCTCATACGTCTCCCGAAGACCCTCCTGTAGTCTCGCCAGGTCCTCTCGCTCTACAAGGATGGTACTCTGTAGCATCCGGTTCTCTGTGCGAAGCTCATTGACAGATTTTTCTAACTCTTCACGCGACATGGCATTTGCCAGCGCATCCGCTTCCGCTCCAATGAATTCTAGGTCAATCGTCGGCACTGTCTCCTCATCGCTGCGGCTTCCCAGTGCGTGGCGGCCGCTTTGCTGCCGCTCAAAGCGGCCAGAGGAGGAGGGCAGCGGGTGACTCTCGAAGGACGGCAACAGAGGCGGTGCAGTGCCATCACCGGCGCCCACTCCTGCCACCACCGCCGACGTGCGGTACGGACGACCCGGTGGCGTCTGCAGAAGACTGGTGCGCAGGTGGGCGGAGAGCCGCGCAGAGCTAGTGCCCGCAGCGTGGCCGGCGGTGGAGCTGCTGCGGCTGAGTATAGACGGCTGTCGCACCGGTGTTGTGGCGACGTTTTGCGTCAGCGTCACCTGCATGGGGGGCGTCCTGCGAAGTGTGTCGTGCTGGGAAGTGGGAGAGAGTGCAGAGTGTTGAACGTCGACGTCAACTCCCAAAGTGACGTCGCTTTCCTCTGTCCTCCTGTTCCTATATACCTCCTCCGTTTTTCCTTACTTCGTCCAAACCAAGCCCCAAGACAACGCACCACAAGGAATGAAGGGTCCAGCAATCTCTCAATAACTGCCACCGGCCCTCGCGCCAACCAAATATTATTATTTGTATTTTGTGCTTGAACTACAGCTAGCTATAGCTTCAGCAGCGTGTATGTGTGCGTGTGTGTGTGAGAGAGAGAGAGATAGATAGATAGAAAGTGAGATGCATCACTACAAAGAGAAGCAAGGAACAAGGCAGAAAGGTGGTGGAGGAGCAGCGGCACGGTGCTGTAAACCGCCATGACATTCTGGTCCTGCGCTGTGATCAGTTTCTCTTCGTTTCTCCTTGTCTTCGTTCTTCTCAACTGCACAGCAGGCGGAGGTGAAGACGAAACGAACAGAAAACAAACAAACACAAACAGGGTAAGGAGGGGGATCTGACTAACAATGGTAGACATAGTAGTGGCAGCGGCGCATCAACCAGCATCAATAAAGACAATCTCAGCAACAAGAACGAAAGGTGACCCACATCTTCAAGGTCCATTCCATTCTCCCTCCGCTTCATCGCTTGCCGTCTCTTCCGATCGGCAGAAAACACACCAATGCCAATAAGAACAAAAGGCCAAGACACCAGAGGCATGTAGTTTCTCTCGGCACGCCCAAGTCTAGTGTGGTGCTGAAACGTTGGGGGAGGCGGAAAGCAGATGGAGTGGATTGACAAGAAGTGGGAAGAAGTGAGGCAGACGAAGAAAGCATGTTTACCACTGGCGCTAACCCGTTTCTCTCGTGTCAGAGGGGGCTTAGTAGGATTCTCTCTCTTCTTCGCCCCACGGTAGTGGAGTAGACTTCAACGAAGAAAAAAAACACTAGACAAAAAAAAAAGAAGGCACCATCAATCGTTAACGTTGTGGCGCCCCATTGCTATCCCCCGAGCCCGCCCAGCCACTCCTATCCTTTATTACTTTTTGATACGTTTGCCTCTTCATACTTTTTTTTTTTCGGTTTGCCTCGCTCCTGCTGACGCATCGCCACTTCACCGGTTTACTCTGCAGTGTGGGACGGCCAGCGTGAAAAAAAAGAAGGGACTCATCCTCGTCTCGCGAACGGAACGGGAGAAGGGGTACGGAAGAAAAAAAAAAGATCATGACAGAAAAAAAGACAACAAACAAAAAAAAGCACACGTGATCAGCGGATTCGCAATATTCATCTTTTTCCTGTCTCCCTTGTCCTTCCTTCCCCTCTCGCTCCTTAGCGTGTATGTCGTCTTCGGTCACGCGGGATACGGCGGTGGCGGCGTGAGCCCGACGCCTTTCTGCTTGACGGAGGTGCTGATGGATGTGTAGGCACCGGCGCCGCTGCCCAAGATGTGCCCCGCCCCCACCACGCCGCTGTACGGGCTCGCGCCGGCCTTCTTCGGCGGGTGTGTCTCTGTGAAGCCGTCCGCCTGCGCCAGCGAATTCCCAAGGAAGTGCGACTGCGGCTGAGCGGCGGGAGGCAACGCGTAGCGTGGAAGGGGGGAGATGGGCGAGGAGACGCTCGGCGGCGTGTACGGCGGCGTTGGCTTCGCGATAGGCTGCAGCAGGAACACGCCGTGCTCGTTGCGGAGGAGAATCGGGTCCTGCTGCGCAGCCGGCATTGGCGGGACGTAGTGCGCAGCGAGCGGCGACAGCTCGACCGGCACCGCCGACATCGGCGGAGTCGAGGCGATGGCCTCCGCAAAGGACGGCGGCGGTGGCTTTGCGGCGTGCGGGATGCCGACATAACTGAACGGACTGCCACCGGGCGGCGCTGGTGAGCCGTACACCGGCGGCGCGGCGCTTCCGCCACGCGTGGGGGGGCCACTCGTCTCCTCCACCACGAAGCCACCGCTGCGAGGCTCTGCCACCGCGTCGGTCTCGTCGTCGCGGTAGATGCTGTGAGTCACCTCATCCAGCAGCCGCATCAGTTCAGTCTGCTCATCCTCGACGCAGCCCGCCGCAGCCACGGACGCAGGCTCCGTGAAGGGAGAGCCAGCGAGGCGCGACGCGTCTGCACGGGCGACGCCGTTGTCTACTACACGCTCGGTAGCCACGCTATCTACAGCCTGGTCGTGCTGCTGGACAGCCATC